TTCATAAATATTTAAATTCTGATTTATTAATTCAAAGACATTTTTGGTAAAATTTTACAAGAAAAAAAAAATACAATTCACAATTGTAATTTTTATTTATATCTAATAAAAATAAATATTAATTAATTGACAAGAAATTATTCAAAACTAATTTATTTACAATTAAATTTTTTTCTTACCTTTCCTTTTAAATCGTCCAATTGTAAATACTTTCTTCCTGCATTGATTATTGTTAACTTTATTAAAAAAAAAAAAAAAAGATTCAAGTTTAAAAATTTACAATAAGAGAAAACTAAATAAACTTCTAATTAAGATCAGAAAATATATTTTTATATTTAATAATAATTTTAAAAATGTATGAACTTTTTAATGACGAGGACGTAACATTAACGTTTGTAGCAACTAATGTATCATTTAAGGGTACAACTGTTGATGCATAAATCATCCTTTAGTACTGTTATTATATTAAAATTATACATTATAGATTATTAATTCGTAAATTATATATTTCTTACCGTTGTGCCATGAACGATGCCTTGAGGACCAATGTAACAGTAACTACCCGCAGTCATCTGTCCGTACCTGAAGAATTAATGAAGGAGAAAAAATATGGCACGATAGATTATTATTAAGTCGAAACGTGAAAATTAAAGTATAAGTAATTTTTTCTTGCATTCTTTGAACATTTCTTGAATATAAAGTTTCAAAAATGTTAGGGTAGAGTGAGTTAATAAAGTAATAGAAACTTTAGAAGTGAAAGTTGCAAGTGGCAAGTCATATATCTTATATCTAATTTTTAAAAAATTAAAATAATTAATAGCAGTTGTCAGTAGATTAATTTCTATATCAATCAATTCAATTATAATTACTTAAACTCGCTAAAATATTTGTTTCAGGATTTATTTTGTATCTACTCTTTTATATTTTATTAAGATTGTCATAGCCAAATCATAAAAATGGGACACAAACAAATATTTGTGCGAATTTAAGTAATTATAATTGAATTTATTGATGTAGAAATTAATATGAACGGATATTTTTTCAAAAATATACGAATGCTTATAAGAAATTAAATTATAAAATTGGAAATTAGTAATAAACAGCAATGAGTTAATAACAATACTAGTGAAAAATGCATTTTTGTCCATATAGATCTCATAACTTGTGCTATTTACTATTTTGAATTTTTCCCCCCAGTATGGACCCCATCATGGCTGCCTCCGGCTCAAAATCTGATCAATTATTTTCAAATTAGAAGTTAGAAAATGTTCATCGTTGAGGGCCGAATATTAGTTCGAATAGGCCGTTCCACGGGAGCCCATGTCCGAATAAGTGCCAATCATTTTAAAATTTCGAATAATAGAACCCGATTGCTATGAGTCAGACGTATGTTCATACGGGCCTGAATTAGAATAAGACGTTTTTAAATTAAATACAATAGACAGCGCTTGCATTTTGTTTATTAATTTATTTTTCGTAAGTGTTGACGTATATTAAAATAAGGAATAGCCACCTAGCAAACACAGGAAAATCGGGAATTTCCCGGTGGCCAGTTCATGACTGGAGAATCAGTTGATCAATCAGTCACATGTTTGTGATTGTTATGCAACACGTGTACTATACTTTTTCATACATCTTTAATGTCTTACTTTTGGAAGTTAAATGTAACAGAAAAATTTACATTTAATCATTATTACATTCGAGAAGATATTTTCGATAGACAAACATAGTTAAACTTATACGTGTATATATACTTATACTTGTATGTACAATTTAACATTTACTCAAGATTGAGTGATGATTTTTCATTCTTACGGTGGACAGTAAACAGTGTTTTATTATTTTGTTTTCTAGTTGCAAAAAATTGGCATTATCTCAATCTATCCCAAAACAAAAATTTCGAAAAACTTGTCCTAAAGCAGAGTTTATTAAATTTTATGCCCCAAAATTAATTTCATTGCGATGAGGTAAGGGAATCATAAACTCACTGACTCCATAGCAATGAGATAGATTTTGATGGATTCCTTGCATAAAAATAAAATATATTATGTCTGTTTGTGTTAAATGTTTATTTAATACAAGTAAATAAACATTTAACACGAACAGGCATAATATAACTTATTTTATTTTTATGTGCATGTTTGGAGAATTTTCTATTGATGTTGAAAAATATATTTTCGAATCCTCGGGTTTTTGCAGATTTCCAAGGACCTCAGAATGCAGATCGCAGTTCTAAAGAATGTTATTAGAATTGGATAATTTTAAGAGAATGTAATCATTCTCAATTTTGCACGTTTTTCATTTGTCGCTGCAATTGGGAAATATTTTAAGCAGTTTAGTTATTTAATTAATGAAAATTTGGTCTATGATCTACAATTAAATTCGAAGCGATTATTGAATTAGCTCCATTAAAATGATTATCAGAGCTCTGACGGAACTTTAATAAAATTCATGGTCACGAAATGGAGAGAAGAGTTTCAAATCCTTTATAAAAGATATAGAAAATAAACAATATTTTTAAAAGCTGGAAGAACTTCTAATCAATGTTTTATATTAATAATTTTGTGTAAATATTTTGAAGAAAGTCGCATTTTCTTTATTTTTACTCTGTCCTGTGGAGCACTAAGAAAACCTTTTAATGGTTCCTGACCCGAACTTGAACCCGGATCCGTCATAGCGCTTCGGCCAACCGGCCACATACAGAGACAACTAGATGTTTTAAATAAAATATTTTAAAGTATTCTATGTTGTTAATTAATATAAGGAACACGAGCTTCTAACGATAATTCATTATTTACTGGAATATAAAATGTTTCCTTCATAAAACATCATCGTGATGCGATTTTCAATAACATTTTCTAAATCTTTCTTACTTCTTAGAATAAAAATGGAGCCAGTGTTTACTAGTCTTCATACACGAAGGAAAATTGTTAATTCTTGTAATATATTATATAGGAAATATATTAGAAAATTATAAAATATGTTTAAATTGTTATAATCTATTGATTTTCCGACATTTTTGCAAGAAATTTGAGTTTATAAAAATGTCGCACGACATCATATGACTTCTGTTCGAATTTTCAACTTCGTTGCTACGGCAGAGGAGTGATACACATTCAAGATCCAGTTCATCGTCTCTATTCTTATTCTAGGAAACATTACAATATGGAGATTTCATGGAAAGCAATGCAAGGTGAATTAATTACAGGTATAATGAGTGACTTAGAACATACTATCAAATGTTGTTAAAGAAATTTGATATTCATTTAATAATTGGTTATAATATTACTGTCCCATTTTTGCATTGAAAGAAAAGAGAAAATTATAAAATGTGCAGAACTATGTCTGAAAAACGAAATAAAAATATTTACATTTATTTCCTTTACAGAAATAGATTATTACGAAAGGTTATTTATACGGATCAGGGGTAACCTTGACTATTAGATTTATGAAATAGAACCAAACATTCGTGAAAATGCTCTAAAATTAAACTTTTGTGAATAAGAATAGATGTACTCAACCAGGAGCTTCCGTACATTGGGGCACTTGAGGCACGTGTCCTCCTTTTTGTTTGATTTTCTTTTTCCTAATCCATTATCAACCCAACAACCCAATAAAAGGAGACCCCAAATTCCATTATCAACAAACAACAGAATATTCATGATTTCTACTGTATTCTGCAAACTAAGGAACGATATTTGTTCATTGTCCCATGCAACTTCAACTTGGTCTCAATTTGACCAAAACTTGCCCCGATAAAAACTTGGCCTTGGCCTTGAAACAAGAAACGTTCCTTGTTTTTAAGGCCAAGTTAGGCCCGATTGCAATCGGCGCCATCTTGTGGGAGCACTGACCGGACGTTGAATCATAGTTTGAAGCTTTTTGCATAATTGTATGACGTCCTTTTTTTAACCTACGCCCCCTTTTTTTTACAGTCTGCGTGCGCCGCTGTGTTCAACGCCACTTCTAGGCTTCCTCGAGTCCACGCGTATGTCGTATTTTTGCGCTCCTTACAAATTAGTAAAAATATACCGAGCATTTTTATTTTTCGATCGTCATTTTTTGATTATCATATTATCACCAAGATCTTTGAATTGAGTTTTAATGGTCTGGTAACGTTGTCAGAGTAGTAGTTACAAGCCCGTAATTGTATACTAAACATAAAATGCCGGCGTTAATACTTGGACTGTTGAATTTTACTTTTTCAACATAATGTTTTGTTTTATTTTTTATCATTTCAAATTCCATTCAGACACTTAATTAGGAATGTCTTTTTGCGCTCCTCGACAGCGATGCATCCGTGTAGTGCACATCCTGCACGCCCGCTTACGACGATCCTAAATGTGCTACGATTTAAAAGTTAAAAATATTCCGTTATGGTACATTACATAAGGACATAATGGCGGATCTACTATGGAACTAATGAAGCGCAAGCTTCAGAATCTCTGAAGCAACTTTTTTGGATGTTACTTTATTGCAGGGATCGGCGAGCTGTTTGTTATTAAGGATGCAATAAAAATTTTAAAAACCATCGAGGGCTCATAGTTTACTTTAAAAAAAAACACACACAATGTTGTAATAAACAAAATAAGTATGTTTTGAAATATTGATGCAGACTGTGTCTGTTTTTTTTAAAACTCTTTCCGCCCTGTAGGCACTAAGAGGGCCTCTTTTTGCAAGCCCATTATGGGTTCAGCCAGGCCCACGATGGGGTTGGCGGGTGGTGGGGCCCGACATATCCGAATGGACCACCCCCCGAAAAATTCCTGAAGCCCTGGTCACACTATGCGATTTCTAGCCGCGCAGGCGACTGCAACTGCAACAAGCGCGAGTCGCGCGCGTCTTCTCGTGGTCACACATTGTTCGCTGACGTTGCAACTCGGAAACACGTGACCCTATAATAAACCAATAAAATTACAGTAGCATGTTTTTGACTACTTTCGTGAGTTTGCCGATATTTTACGTTCTACTTCAGAGTATTTACGGAATTTTAGCCACTTTTCTTATTAAAATAGCAAGCAGTTCCTTTTCTGGAATGAATAAAAGAAAAAAGGCGATTATTTTAATAGAGCTGGCGAAAATACATGAAAAGATAAAATCTTCGATAAAACGAAGAATTAAAATCCCACAGGTATTCGTGAGCCTGAATAAGCTCGATCAATCTCGATTCTGTAAAAGTATTAATCCTCTGACTATCCGCCATGATGATGAACTATTTTCAATGTTGTCACTGTATGACGTGGCATAAAGGCGTTTGTTGATTGGATGCGCGTTTGCAATCGTCGCGAGTAGAACAAACTTTTTGTTTATAGTTGAGATTGCAGTCGCGCCGGTTTTCGAGGGGGGATTACTAGTTAACGGGAACAGCCGTCGCGGTTGCAGTCGCCTGCGCGGCTGAAAATCGCATAGTGTGATCAGGGTTTTAGAAAAATTTATTTCTATGTTTATTTTCAGATGCAAAGCATTATTTAAGAACAATTCGTTAGTAACGTTTTAAATGATTTACCTCAATATTCATTTTTTATATAATACAAAACTTTGTATCATTTTCTGTAGTACAAATGTTTTCGATAAGTCATTAATTAAATAAATATTTTGAAACGTGATATTTCTAAGATAGTTTGATTGGAAATAAATATTTTGTTGAATGACCGAACAAATGAATCATAAATTATTATAATTGAGATGCATAAAAAAGATTTGCTTGCTGCTCACTCTTTTTGGATTAAGGACGTAGGATATGTATGTATGTATGTAGATTAGTGAGGAATTACAGTATTTTGTTATTTTTTCGTAAATTATAGCAAAGCTGCCTATTAACATTGATTACAAACATTCTAATATGATTGATTGTTGAGCTGTTATATTATAGTCAAACTTCGCTTATGAAATTTGTCTGTGGCTCCAAATTGAATTAATTAAAAAATAAAAAATTATATGATAATGAGGTCTATACAATTTTTGAGTTGGGAGTTTGAAATTCACCTGAAAGTCATGTAAAGTCATATATTTAGTGATTTTCAGTTACAGAAGAGTTATTAATTAATTTATGCTAATGAATTTATAATTAGAGATTTTCAACTTAAGAGTTATAATTAATGTAGAGCTATTTATTTAATATTTATGGAAATGATTCGTTTCCGAGTATTCTTTGGAGCTATATCGAAGTTTGACTTTATTTAATTTCAATAAATTTCTAAAGCTTACATCTTGGAACATTTGCCAAGATAGATATTTGAGTAATCATTTCTTATCATGATACTGATAGTCTGATATTGCATACTTCAAATAGATCTGAAGACAGAATTCTAGAGAAAAATGACAAATTATCTAATATCAGTTCATAGAAAATACATTTCTAATTGAAATATTGCTAAAAATAAATCTTTACTCTTATGGAAAGAGGCATAAATATTTAGAAGCATTTGCAACTTATATTTTAGCTTTATGGAACAACATAATCGATAGATTAGATTGAATATGAAATGTTCTGTCAAATGTTTGTTTCCAATTTCGATTTTCGGTAGAAAAATTATTATTGGAATGATTGATTATTAATGCTACAACAGCACATTAACATTATAGGGTCAGTCACAATTTCACTCATTACGGATAGAATTGATCCGCAATGGTGTATTTGAAAAATCAATTAATTTAATAAATAAATAATTAAAGTAGCCTTGGTCTAATTTGAACTCATTGCATTATAATTAAAGAAGATGCTTTCAGCATTAGCAAATTTATTTTAAATAATAATAATAATTGTATATTAGTTTTATATTACATAATTTTTAGAAATAATACGTTAATTATCTGCATTATAGTTTGCGTAAGTGAAAGAAGTAGAACTCCAGTATTGAATATGCGCTGTTAATTTGAAGTTACAAACTTACTATAACATCTGTGCATTTACGATTTTGTTGAAGTGAGATAAAGAAAAATGTTAACTTAATAAAAAAAACTAATGAAGTCTTTTATACTTACATAGTTACACCCAACGCGAACATTCGATCATAATTATCTGGAGAAGAGTAGTTAGGTATCATCATGCCATTGGTAATAACTAGCCTAGGAGATGATGCAAATGATGGAAATAATCCTAAAGGATGTCCCGAATACATCACTAAAGTTTGCTCTTCCGTCATCGTTGATAAATAATGCATAACTAACAAAAACTAAAAGTATTTTATGAAATATTTCATTCATAATATTGATTTAATAGCTTAAATTAACAATGGCTTACTTGTGCCCAGTTAGAAAATACTTGTCCGTTACCACCATAAGTGACCAATTCGTGAGGAAATTGTGCCACTTTAGGATCCAAATTATTCATAATCATCAACATAATGGCTGCTGCTTTTTGACATTTAGCAGGATATTGATCGATTGGATAAGCTCTACAAAATTATTAATTTTTTATTGATATTTTAAGTAATATTTTAAAACAAGGAAACTCACCTCATCTCTATAGAAGGACGAAATCTATACATGTAAATATGCCCATAATTTTCCAATTCTTCAAGAAATTCTGGTGCGAGTATGTTATGAAGATTGGCCGGAAAATATCGTAATGCATTTTTCAAAGCTAACTTTTTATTCAAATTTTTAAAATAATTAATAATTGTAACTATGTAATACGGATAAAAGTTAAAATTTGACTAACCTGTTTTTCTTCTCTGTTAAGATTAATGTTCCTGATAGGTGCATGAGGTACATTATTATCCCTATGTTTAACAGGTGGTGGTAGAGATTTAATAGGCAAACCAGAACATATTTCAATAAGTGTACTCATCCTTTAACAACTTCCCTTTGTTCGATTCCAATAAACAGTATAATTTATCGAATGTTAAAGTCCATTTATCTTTCAATATTCGAATGTTTATAATCTCGCCTGATTTGCTTCTGTCAAGGACGGTGTTACAAAATACTTACTTTTCATTATCTGTAAGTTGCGAGTATTCTATTAAAGATTATGTGTATTGATATATTTAAATTCAATTATGTACTTTGGCTATTAACATATAAACTATTGTTAATTTTGTGATTTACTGAATTACTCGTACTAGCTCCTGTAGTATTAGTTGCTACGCGATTGTTCAGTAATACTTCGTAGATTAAGCAAATTAATGATAGAAATAAAGGAAAACTAAATTAATTAAATTTAAATTATAATAAATAGATGTTGGAAGCAGTAACGAGACGATATTATTCGAAATACTTTGAAAATTTAAGTGAGATTTTGAGCATTTATTTAGAATAAACTGGAGTTATGATCTGTTAGACTGTTTAAAACTCCACCTATAAATTAATATTGAACTGTAGTTATGTATCTGTACATAGAAAAATGTATTAAATTAAATTTTTATCATTTAAAACAATTTAATAAATAAATGTAATTTTTAGGACAAAATAAAACATGTTTCTCTGTGTATTTTATTTAAGTTACCCTATAAATTATTTAGTAAACTAATTAAGCAACAATCTGTTTTTATTGGAAAAAAATTATAAATGTTTATCATAGATTGTAGATATCATTTTGTTTACAGAGATAAATAAACAGCATAGAAATAGTTATCAATGAAAATCTTTGAAAGTTGTCGACACAATAATCATTTCACAGTTGAGAGAATTTCTCTTCTTTTTTTTCGATTCAAGAATAGAGAAATAAGGAAGCAGACTATTCTCCTTCTCAGCACACACGCACACACCTTTAGGTACCAGACCATGTGAGAAACAGCATTCAGACAACTTTACGACATACAACCTGACTGATTTATGTCACTTGGTGTGGGAGGTGTTGAAAAGGGATACCGATAGGGCTGATTCGAGCGAAAATAAACGCGCTTTGAGTATTTTTGCAAAGGAACCCAGTCGGGGGTCGTTCGATGTTTATTGTATGGCGCGTCCCACTCAGGTTTTCTTTAATAGAAAGAGGGAGAATGAAAATGAAACACCACCGATGCAATTGTTCCCATCTGTAAATATCTAACTGTAGCCAGATGTTGACGACGAAAAGTGTGAGAACAATTCCTTTGCCTGAATTCAAAAATGTCATATAATTTAATGGAATAAAAAATTTTTTTTAATATAATTTCTCCATTATTAAACATCAGTTTGCAATTTAATTCATTTAGACAGCTCCTTTCAACGATATAAAATATTTAATCAGTAAAATTTGCAATTTAATAAGATAATTTCTTAATGATAACTTTATTATATCTATTTATTAGTTATATATCGATGTATATAAGATATAAAATTAAATAAATTTTACATAAAATAAATATACTTTAGCCTATATTATTGACATAATTTTTGAATTTTTAGTCAATAAAAATATTCTTACTATAATATACAGAGTAATAAAAGGATATATAATAGATCTTATATAAAATATGAATTATGCATAATAAAATTGATATAGAAATTCGGGGAAAAAATATAAAGTTATAATTATTTATTTGTAATAATTAATTTATAGTAAATTACAGTATTTAATTAAAATAAATTATATATTTTTTGAAGAATTAATTCCTTTTAACGAGTGAATTTTTAAATATAATTTATAGACTGGAGAGGGCAAAAAATATATTTGAAGAATGTTCAACTAGAAGTAAATACTACGTTTGTAAAAAGGTAGAATAATATTTATTATATTTAAGAATTAAATATGATTAAAAGAGTTAATTATAAATGTTTATATATAGTTTTAACTTATTTTTTTATAATAACATTATATTGACTTGAGGTCCCGACACAGGGTCTAGCATTAAAAGAGAAAAAGTCTAAGCCAATTTTGCTTCTCTCGAACGCTAATATATACATAAATGAATATTTATAATAATTTATTTTTATGTATATTTAAATCTATAAACTCTATAAAAATATTTCTAACGAAACTTTGATTTTTAATTATTCTAATTTTTTTTTATTTAATACATTTTTTTTCGTTATAATGAATATAAATTACACAGATTACTATTTAAAACTAATTTTAAACATGCTATTTTTAAATTTTAAATTAGCATGCATTTAACAATATAACGCTCTTAAAAATACCATTATATTTAAAATAAATATATTTAGAAGCCACGTTTTTAACTTAAAAAGTTCTCTAATAATTGACAGCGAATAATAAAACGTGTATTTTGATATAAATGGATCATTTATCAGATATCTTCCTTTGGCTTATCTCTACGAGAGCCTGAAAACTGAGTACTAGTCGAATTGCAAAGGAGGTTGACAGTAAAATTTACTAATCTTGAGATTTTCATCAAACGATAAATGGACTCGAAAACAGTTTTACGACTCGCACGTTTTCTGGAACATAATTTCATGCTGAAACTGGTTAGCTCCTATAAAGCAACTCGCTAAACTCGTATTTATTTTACCTTAAACTAGAATAATTTAATAGTTCTTGAAAAAATATATATTTAAAATAAAAACAAAATAAACTTTGAAATTGATAATTTTAAGAATTATAAAATGATTTCTTTGTTTTATAACAAAAATAAACTAATGTAAAATTGTTTCAGCCTTCTATTAAGTTAACTCCTTTTTCCTCTCACACTTATTAAACTTTGGCTATAAAAATTAATATCTGACTTAATTAATAAAGTAATATCTTCTCTTTTTACATTAAATATTATAATTGTATAAATATAATTAATCTGTGAGCATCATATACCTAGCTTTATGACATAATCTTAATTTAACGTTTAAAAAGCATAAAAATATGATTTAAAATAGTTAAATATATACTTAATTTAAATATAATTAAAGCATGCCTAGCATATTATATATTAATTTTTAATTAATTAAGTGTATTGTTTGTATAATCCTTAATTAACTTCTTTTTTACAATATAAACTTTTCACTATAAATTACATAATTTAAATACAAAAATTTTCTTTAAAAATAAATCTTATTATTTATCTATTAATTTATCTATAATATTATTTATCTTTTTATAAAGAAAATTGTATTTATGTTGCGCTAATGTGTCTACGTGGGATGAATTTTAATTTAAAAAAGAAAAAAATTTGTAGGAATTTAAGAAAAACTGTCTTAAAAGTTCATTTATCCGATTGGAGTTTAGATAATCTTCAGCTACAAAATGCCTGTAAATGGGAGTTTAAGTTGATAAAAAAAAAGAAGTACTTAGAACAAGTTGAGGTCAATAAGTAAAACCTGTTTTTTTTATATAGTCCTATTTAAAACCCGAATGGCTATTAACACCTACATTTAGTGATTGTTTCCTTTTATAAGATCATAAAAAAAGAAAAAAAAATCTTTTCAAAAGTTCACTTCCAAGAACTAAGTTTCTAATTTTAATGTTTTTATAAATTAATCTTGTAGTTTGAATAAGATTTTTTAAAACATTACCTAGTAATTACTGTAATTAATCTTAATATATAGGCCTACATTTTTAATAATTTTAAATGTTATTATTAAATGAATGGAAATTAAAATTTTTTTTTAAATTAAAGGAAATAAAACTAAATATGAGTGTAAAATCAACTGAGTAAAATTTTAAGAATAAAATAAAATAGATATATGTATTTTTGCGTGTGAAAATGTCATATTTTATGATATATATGAGTATTTTTAACTTAAAAATATGAATAAAATTATACAAAATATCGTAAATCGTAACAGAAATTAATGAATAATGCATTTAATATAAATTAATACTTAAAAATTAGCCAGTATTTTAATAATAAAAAATTAAATAAACTATAGTGAACTCTCGATAAGAAAGTGAAATATTTCACTGTATCGAGTGGTCAAGAATTCATTGTATTTAAAGTAAAATTATCCATTATTTCCAACATAATTTCATATATGATGCTTAATAATAAGGCAAAATATTTAAATATTCATTCTATAGTTAAATATGTTGCTATTTTATTACATTTTCTTCTGAATTAAATTATAAACTATTTAAATAAACACACAATTATGCTGTTACCTTGTGTTAAATTTTCCATGTTCAATATTTTCGATTAATTATATTTGAGTGTTTTAGATAATATTTTTAAAATCATATTTTGAATTATTGCAAATTTAATTGTTAATATTCTAAGAAGATTTGAGTAGGAACCATGTTGTTTCCACTTAAAAGGGCCCATTCTTCTTATAAATATATTTTCGAGTAGTTTTTTCTAAAAAAAAAAAAAAAGTGAACTTATCAATTAAAGCATAGAAAAGATCTTTTTTAGAATCTATCAATAATAATAGTTTTTATAGAAAGCAAATTCCTCAAAAACAAAAAATATATTCAGTAAACTCCACTTTTAAGATGGACGTAAAAGTTGACAAACGATCGGTTGTGAATCGAGATCTAATATCTCGTAGGTACAGCTTCATAGATTGATATTTTATTCTTAGAAATAAGCTCTGAACTGTATAATGCCAACAGAAATGACCGAAAAATGTAGTATTTAAATACCGTACATTTCATAGTCATGATAGAAAATTTATCAGTCGTGAAAGCCAGAGTTTGTAAAGCGGGTCTATTTTTACATAATTTATTTTATTTTACTAAGAACGTAAAATAGTACTTAAACTGATATAAATTTACTATAAAATTATCGAATTGAATTGATTAATTTTTTATAAAACTTTTTAAATAAAAATTAACTTTTTCAATATGATAATTTCAAGTCCGTCAATGATAATATTGATAGATAAAACCACCGAACACTAGTAGTTAGTCGCGGATCAACGGGCTGGCCACGTGGTTTTCTGAGTTTTCTTCACACGTGCAGCACTTAATAGGGGACAATTTCCCATAAAAGTCCCCCGGGAGGCACTCCCACCTTGGTAGATCGCCCTTGTGTTGCGTTGCCATATCCCATTATATCCTTTATAAATAACGAGCAATTATTTATTATGACATCGCCACAATGGCTGGCTGCAATTTTTAATCATATTTTTAATTTATTTCGCTTAAAATATATGCTCTCCACCTCAAATTAGTAGTGGCTTGCCCCTGTACATCATATTTTTCCTTTAACAATGGAGTCGATCATCTATTAAATGCTTTCAGGGGAAAGTTTTGAAGTAAAATAACGTGACTTCTGGTTTTTACCGGAAGTTTGTATATAGTTAATCGTGACCGCTTATCCCTAAGGTTTTCATATATGGTTTCGTGTTTTATCTATTTTACTCTGTTCTCGAGATTAAGGAAAGACGGACGGACGGACGACAGTGGGAATTTATAGGTCTACAATTTTTTCAAATTACAGTCAAAAAGATTTATTATACTGTATTTAGTGCGTAACTAAAACCGATATTAGAGAGAAGTTCAAAGGATTAGAATGTGCAATAATAAATTTTAAAAATGTATTCCTGTATTACTTTAGAATAATTACTTGCGCTATGGAAGTGTAAACTCGTAGACATTGTATATAGCCTACACGTGTTTAAGTACGTTCATTACATTCAAATATTTTTCCTGCACTTATTTCATTTTTGCCTCATTTATTTACAAGTATTTACAAAGTTCAGGGGCCTGGATCTCCTGGACGCTGCTGCTGAGTACATAAATTTAAAGATGGCAAGACTTTGGAAAGGATGATGATGATGATGTGTAATACGTATTAATTTTACTAATTCGTCGTAACTTTTTTTTATATTCTGTAATTTCTGTTTATTTTTGGCATGAACATTTAGTGACATATAATAAATAACTTTTAAAGACGTTGAAGTAAGTTTTTTAAATAATTTTATGTGAACACCTTTTACGATTAACAAAATAAATAAGTTGTTTTTAAGAAATAAAGTAGAAAAGGGAAGAAAAGTTGAAAAGGGTGTTTTTAATCTTTATATCCTGCTTACTTATATAGTTTAATCGTATTATTCGGTTATATTGTATTTGAACTTAATGTTATGTCTTACTTGAGCTTAACACAAAATTTAACATAATATTGAAGATACGAAACAATCAGCAGGATTCTTATTTCCCAGCTGTTCTATTGGCAAACCTTATGACGGGACATAAAAAAGACCTCTTAGAATCTATAATACAAAAAGATTTTTTAAAAGTAGATGGAAAAACTGTAGGTTTAAAAGTTTATAGTTGATAATTAGATATTTCATTTAATTTCTCTTAGGATAGCTCAAATGTCAGTTAACCGTTGTAAAAACTAAATTGCAAATAATTAATTTAAAAAATGCAGTCACTATAATTTAATTCTATTTTTTATAATTATATTTCGACTAATTTTGTTTTACTTTGTTTACCATTTATATCCATAAGTGTACCTCTTGAACACACAAATTAAAACACGGTTAACTGACTATTAAGCCATTATAAAGGATTAAAGTTTTTAAAAATATTTGTGATTAATTTCTTTATTTAGTTTTTTTCTCCAAAAAAGTTAAAGTATTTTAAACATTTCCTTAACTTAATTTTTTTCAGCTACACCGAAACTATTAATAAATATATAAATACATCATTATTCATTAATTATATGAATATATATAGCCTATATTTATTTATTTATTTATTATGTAATTGAGAGCTAAAAATATTAATAAAGAACTCATTTTTTCCATATGCTCTACTTTCATACATAGGAATTTATATTTTTTAAGCATATTGTAAAAGTAGCGAAAAGTATTACAATAAGAGACACTGATACATGAAGTTTTCATTATCTTTATTTCTCAAATTTGTTTATTACATGTTATCAGGGATTTATTACATCACAAAAATAACATATTCTTGTATTAACGTCTTTCAATTAACTTCTTGTATGAATTAGATCTATACATCGTGACGAGCTTATGAATGTTCGTCATTCATTGCTTGTTCTAACTCCGAATGGAATTGATGATGAACTGTTGGGTCGATGAACCAAATCAAGATTCTTCTGAAATGCTAAGAAATGGGATTTCAGAATTTAAATTGGATTATTTAATACGTAAAACGAATAAAATCTTTTTATTACCTTATCTTTTATTCTTCTCAAATAGCGTTACGTCAAGATGAAACAAAGACACAATAATTCGTCTCATTACCATTCTAGGAAAGAAATTCAAATTTGCTCTTTTAAATCAGATTTTTTAAAAGAATATAGTATTGAATTAACGAGTGCGATTATTTATTTTATTTGAATTTAAATTTGTTTTTCATAAATTTGATCTATACACGCGATATTTCAAAAATCAGTTAATTCAATTAACTAACTTTGCTATATCTCGGTTAACTGGCTTTTGGTCATCCTATAAACGCAAATATATACTTAACTTTATAATGTTTTNGATTGCAGTCGCGCCGGTTTTCGAGGGGGGATTACTAGTTAACGGGAACAGCCGTCGCGGTTGCAGTCGCCTGCGCGGCTGAAAATCGCATAGTGTGATCAGGGTTTTAGAAAAATTTATTTCTATGTTTATTTTCAGATGCAAAGCATTATTTAAGAACAATTCGTTAGTAACGTTTTAAATGATTTACCTCAATATTCATTTTTTATATAATACAAAACTTTGTATCATTTTCTGTAGTACAAATGTTTTCGATAAGTCATTAATTAAATAAATATTTTGAAACGTGATATTTCTAAGATAGTTTGATTGGAAATAAATATTTTGTTGAATGACCGAACAAATGAATCATAAATTATTATAATTGAGATGCATAAAAAAGATTTGCTTGCTGCTCACTCTTTTTGGATTAAGGACGTAGGATATGTATGTATGTATGTAGATTAGTGAGGAATTACAGTATTTTGTTATTTTTTCGTAAATTATAGCAAAGCTGCCTATTAACATTGATTACAAACATTCTAATATGATTGATTGTTGAGCTGTTATATTATAGTCAAACTTCGCTTATGAAATTTGTCTGTGGCTCCAAATTGAATTAATTAAAAAATAAAAAATTATATGATAATGAGGTCTATACAATTTTTGAGTTGGGAGTTTGAAATTCACCTGAAAGTCATGTAAAGTCATATATTTAGTGATTTTCAGTTACAGAAGAGTTATTAATTAATTTATGCTAATGAATTTATAATTAGAGATTTTCAACTTAAGAGTTATAATTAATGTAGAGCTATTTATTTAATATTTATGGAAATGATTCGTTTCCGAGTATTCTTTGGAGCTATATCGAAGTTTGACTTTATTTAATTTCAATAAATTTCTAAAGCTTACATCTTGGAACATTTGCCAAGATAGATATTTGAGTAATCATTTCTTATCATGATACTGATAGTCTGATATTGCATACTTCAAATAGATCTGAAGACAGAATTCTAGAGAAAAATGACAAATTATCTAATATCAGTTCATAGAAAATACATTTCTAATTGAAATATTGCTAAAAATAAATCTTTACTCTTATGGAAAGAGGCATAAATATTTAGAAGCATTTGCAACTTATATTTTAGCTTTATGGAACAACATAATCGATAGATTAGATTGAATATGAAATGTTCTGTCAAATGTTTGTTTCCAATTTCGATTTTCGGTAGAAAAATTATTATTGGAATGATTGATTATTAATGCTACAACAGCACATTAACATTATAGGGTCAGTCACAATTTCACTCATTACGGATAGAATTGATCCGCAATGGTGTATTTGAAAAATCAATTAATTTAATAAATAAATAATTAAAGTAGCCTTGGTCTAATTTGAACTCATTGCATTATAATTAAAGAAGATGCTTTCAGCATTAGCAAATTTATTTTAAATAATAATAATAATTGTATATTAGTTTTATATTACATAATTTTTAGAAATAATACGTTAATTATCTGCATTATAGTTTGCGTAAGTGAAAGAAGTAGAACTCCAGTATTGAATATGCGCTGTTAATTTGAAGTTACAAACTTACTATAACATCTGTGCATTTACGATTTTGTTGAAGTGAGATAAAGAAAAATGTTAACTTAATAAAAAAAACTAATGAAGTCTTTTATACTTACATAGTTACACCCAACGCGAACATTCGATCATAATTATCTGGAGAAGAGTAGTTAGGTATCATCATGCCATTGGTAATAACTAGCCTAGGAGATGATGCAAATGATGGAAATAATCCTAAAGGATGTCCCGAATACATCACTAAAGTTTGCTCTTCCGTCATCGTTGATAAATAATGCATAACTAACAAAAACTAAAAGTATTTTATGAAATATTTCATTCATAATATTGATTTAATAGCTTAAATTAACAATGGCTTACTTGTGCCCAGTTAGAAAATACTTGTCCGTTACCACCATAAGTGACCAATTCGTGAGGAAATTGTGCCACTTTAGGATCCAAATTATTCATAATCATCAACATAATGGCTGCTGCTTTTTGACATTTAGCAGGATATTGATCGATTGGATAAGCTCTACAAAATTATTAATTTTTTATTGATATTTTAAGTAATATTTTAAAACAAGGAAACTCACCTCATCTCTATAGAAGGACGAAATCTATACATGTAAATATGCCCATAATTTTCCAATTCTTCAAGAAATTCTGGTGCGAGTATGTTATGAAGATTGGCCGGAAAATATCGTAATGCATTTTTCAAAGCTAACTTTTTATTCAAATTTTTAAAATAATTAATAATTGTAACTATGTAATACGGATAAAAGTTAAAATTTGACTAACCTGTTTTTCTTCTCTGTTAAGATTAATGTTCCTGATAGGTGCATGAGGTACATTATTATCCCTATGTTTAACAGGTGGTGGTAGAGATTTAATAGGCAAACCAGAACATATTTCAATAAGTGTACTCATCCTTTAACAACTTCCCTTTGTTCGATTCCAATAAACAGTATAATTTATCGAATGTTAAAGTCCATTTATCTTTCAATATTCGAATGTTTATAATCTCGCCTGATTTGCTTCTGTCAAGGACGGTGTTACAAAATACTTACTTTTCATTATCTGTAAGTTGCGAGTATTCTATTAAAGATTATGTGTATTGATATATTTAAATTCAATTATGTACTTTGGCTATTAACATATAAACTATTGTTAATTTTGTGATTTACTGAATTACTCGTACTAGCTCCTGTAGTATTAGTTGCTACGCGATTGTTCAGTAATACTTCGTAGATTAAGCAAATTAATGATAGAAATAAAGGAAAACTAAATTAATTAAATTTAAATTATAATAAATAGATGTTGGAAGCAGTAACGAGACGATATTATTCGAAATACTTTGAAAATTTAAGTGAGATTTTGAGCATTTATTTAGAATAAACTGGAGTTATGATCTGTTAGACTGTTTAAAACTCCACCTATAAATTAATATTGAACTGTAGTTATGTATCTGTACATAGAAAAATGTATTAAATTAAATTTTTATCATTTAAAACAATTTAATAAATAAATGTAATTTTTAGGACAAAATAAAACATGTTTCTCTGTGTATTTTATTTAAGTTACCCTATAAATTATTTAGTAAACTAATTAAGCAACAATCTGTTTTTATTGGAAAAAAATTATAAATGTTTATCATAGATTGTAGATATCATTTTGTTTACAGAGATAAATAAACAGCATAGAAATAGTTATCAATGAAAATCTTTGAAAGTTGTCGACACAATAATCATTTCACAGTTGAGAGAATTTCTCTTCTTTTTTTTCGATTCAAGAATAGAGAAATAAGGAAGCAGACTATTCTCCTTCTCAGCACACACGCACACACCTTTAGGTACCAGACCATGTGAGAAACAGCATTCAGACAACTTTACGACATACAACCTGACTGATTTATGTCACTTGGTGTGGGAGGTGTTGAAAAGGGATACCGATAGGGCTGATTCGAGCGAAAATAAACGCGCTTTGAGTATTTTTGCAAAGGAACCCAGTCGGGGGTCGTTCGATGTTTATTGTATGGCGCGTCCCACTCAGGTTTTCTTTAATAGAAAGAGGGAGAATGAAAATGAAACACCACCGATGCAATTGTTCCCATCTGTAAATATCTAACTGTAGCCAGATGTTGACGACGAAAAGTGTGAGAACAATTCCTTTGCCTGAATTCAAAAATGTCATATAATTTAATGGAATAAAAAATTTTTTTTAATATAATTTCTCCATTATTAAACATCAGTTTGCAATTTAATTCATTTAGACAGCTCCTTTCAACGATATAAAATATTTAATCAGTAAAATTTGCAATTTAATAAGATAATTTCTTAATGATAACTTTATTATATCTATTTATTAGTTATATATCGATGTATATAAGATATAAAATTAAATAAATTTTACATAAAATAAATATACTTTAGCCTATATTATTGACATAATTTTTGAATTTTTAGTCAATAAAAATATTCTTACTATAATATACAGAGTAATAAAAGGATATATAATAGATCTTATATAAAATATGAATTATGCATAATAAAATTGATATAGAAATTCGGGGAAAAAATATAAAGTTATAATTATTTATTTGTAATAATTAATTTATAGTAAATTACAGTATTTAATTAAAATAAATTATATATTTTTTGAAGAATTAATTCCTTTTAACGAGTGAATTTTTAAATATAATTTATAGACTGGAGAGGGCAAAAAATATATTTGAAGAATGTTCAACTAGAAGTAAATACTACGTTTGTAAAAAGGTAGAATAATATTTATTATATTTAAGAATTAAATATGATTAAAAGAGTTAATTATAAATGTTTATATATAGTTTTAACTTATTTTTTTATAATAACATTATATTGACTTGAGGTCCCGACACAGGGTCTAGCATTAAAAGAGAAAAAGTCTAAGCCAATTTTGCTTCTCTCGAACGCTAATATATACATAAATGAATATTTATAATAATTTATTTTTATGTATATTTAAATCTATAAACTCTATAAAAATATTTCTAACGAAACTTTGATTTTTAATTATTCTAATTTTTTTTTATTTAATACATTTTTTTTCGTTATAATGAATATAAATTACACAGATTACTATTTAAAACTAATTTTAAACATGCTATTTTTAAATTTTAAATTAGCATGCATTTAACAATATAACGCTCTTAAAAATACCATTATATTTAAAATAAATATATTTAGAAGCCACGTTTTTAACTTAAAAAGTTCTCTAATAATTGACAGCGAATAATAAAACGTGTATTTTGATATAAATGGATCATTTATCAGATATCTTCCTTTGGCTTATCTCTACGAGAGCCTGAAAACTGAGTACTAGTCGAATTGCAAAGGAGGTTGACAGTAAAATTTACTAATCTTGAGATTTTCATCAAACGATAAATGGACTCGAAAACAGTTTTACGACTCGCACGTTTTCTGGAACATAATTTCATGCTGAAACTGGTTAGCTCCTATAAAGCAACTCGCTAAACTCGTATTTATTTTACCTTAAACTAGAATAATTTAATAGTTCTTGAAAAAATATATATTTAAAATAAAAACAAAATAAACTTTGAAATTGATAATTTTAAGAATTATAAAATGATTTCTTTGTTTTATAACAAAAATAAACTAATGTAAAATTGTTTCAGCCTTCTATTAAGTTAACTCCTTTTTCCTCTCACACTTATTAAACTTTGGCTATAAAAATTAATATCTGACTTAATTAATAAAGTAATATCTTCTCTTTTTACATTAAATATTATAATTGTATAAATATAATTAATCTGTGAGCATCATATACCTAGCTTTATGACATAATCTTAATTTAACGTTTAAAAAGCATAAAAATATGATTTAAAATAGTTAAATATATACTTAATTTAAATATAATTAAAGCATGCCTAGCATATTATATATTAATTTTTAATTAATTAAGTGTATTGTTTGTATAATCCTTAATTAACTTCTTTTTTACAATATAAACTTTTCACTATAAATTACATAATTTAAATACAAAAATTTTCTTTAAAAATAAATCTTATTATTTATCTATTAATTTATCTATAATATTATTTATCTTTTTATAAAGAAAATTGTATTTATGTTGCGCTAATGTGTCTACGTGGGATGAATTTTAATTTAAAAAAGAAAAAAATTTGTAGGAATTTAAGAAAAACTGTCTTAAAAGTTCATTTATCCGATTGGAGTTTAGATAATCTTCAGCTACAAAATGCCTGTAAATGGGAGTTTAAGTTGATAAAAAAAAAGAAGTACTTAGAACAAGTTGAGGTCAATAAGTAAAACCTGTTTTTTTTATATAGTCCTATTTAAAACCCGAATGGCTATTAACACCTACATTTAGTGATTGTTTCCTTTTATAAGATCATAAAAAAAGAAAAAAAAATCTTTTCAAAAGTTCACTTCCAAGAACTAAGTTTCTAATTTTAATGTTTTTATAAATCAATCTTGTAGTTTGAATAAGATTTTTTAAAACATTACCTAGTAATTACTGTAATTAATCTTAATATATAGGCCTACATTTTTAATAATTTTAAATGTTATTATTAAATGAATGGAAATTAAAATTTTTTTTTAAATTAAAGGAAATAAAACTAAATATGAGTGTAAAATCAACTGAGTAAAATTTTAAGAATAAAATAAAATAGATATATGTATTTTTGCGTGTGAAAATGTCATATTTTATGATATATATGAGTATTTTTAACTTAAAAATATGAATAAAATTATACAAAATATCGTAAATCGTAACAGAAATTAATGAATAATGCATTTAATATAAATTAATACTTAAAAATTAGCCAGTATTTTAATAATAAAAAATTAAATAAACTATAGTGAACTCTCGATAAGAAAGTGAAATATTTCACTGTATCGAGTGGTCAAGAATTCATTGTATTTAAAGTAAAATTATCCATTATTTCCAACATAATTTCATATATGATGCTTAATAATAAGGCAAAATATTTAAATATTCATTCTATAGTTAAATATGTTGCTATTTTATTACATTTTCTTCTGAATTAAATTATAAACTATTTAAATAAACACACAATTATGCTGTTACCTTGTGTTAAATTTTCCATGTTCAATATTTTCGATTAATTATATTTGAGTGTTTTAGATAATATTTTTAAAATCATATTTTGAATTATTGCAAATTTAATTGTTAATATTCTAAGAAGATTTGAGTAGGAACCATGTTGTTTCCACTTAAAAGGGCCCATTCTTCTTATAAATATATTTTCGAGTAGTTTTTTCTAAAAAAAAAAAAAAAAGTGAACTTATCAATTAAAGCATAGAAAAGATCTTTTTTAGAATCTATCAATAATAATAGTTTTTATAGAAAGCAAATTCCTCAAAAACAAAAAATATATTCAGTAAACTCCACTTTTAAGATGGACGTAAAAGTTGACAAACGATCGGTTGTGAATCGAGATCTAATATCTCGTAGGTACAGCTTCATAGATTGATATTTTATTCTTAGAAATAAGCTCTGAACTGTATAATGCCAACAGAAATGACCGAAAAATGTAGTATTTAAATACCGTACATTTCATAGTCATGATAGAAAATTTATCAGTCGTGAAAGCCAGAGTTTGTAAAGCGGGTCTATTTTTACATAATTTATTTTATTTTACTAAGAACGTAAAATAGTACTTAAACTGATATAAATTTACTATAAAATTATCGAATTGAATTGATTAATTTTTTATAAAACTTTTTAAATAAAAATTAACTTTTTCAATATGATAATTTCAAGTCCGTCAATGATAATATTGATAGATAAAACCACCGAACACTAGTAGTTAGTCGCGGATCAACGGGCTGGCCACGTGGTTTTCTGAGTTTTCTTCACACGTGCAGCACTTAATAGGGGACAATTTCCCATAAAAGTCCCCCGGGAGGCACTCCCACCTTGGTAGATCGCCCTTGTGTTGCGTTGCCATATCCCATTATATCCTTTATAAATAACGAGCAATTATTTATTATGACATCGCCACAATGGCTGGCTGCAATTTTTAATCATATTTTTAATTTATTTCGCTTAAAATATATGCTCTCCACCTCAAATTAGTAGTGGCTTGCCCCTGTACATCATATTTTTCCTTTAACAATGGAGTCGATCATCTATTAAATGCTTTCAGGGGAAAGTTTTGAAGTAAAATAACGTGACTTCTGGTTTTTACCGGAAGTTTGTATATAGTTAATCGTGACCGCTTATCCCTAAGGTTTTCATATATGGTTTCGTGTTTTATCTATTTTACTCTGTTCTCGAGATTAAGGAAAGACGGACGGACGGACGACAGTGGGAATTTATAGGTCTACAATTTTTTCAAATTACAGTCAAAAAGATTTATTATACTGTATTTAGTGCGTAACTAAAACCGATATTAGAGAGAAGTTCAAAGGATTAGAATGTGCAATAATAAATTTTAAAAATGTATTCCTGTATTACTTTAGAATAATTACTTGCGCTATGGAAGTGTAAACTCGTAGACATTGTATATAGCCTACACGTGTTTAAGTACGTTCATTACATTCAAATATTTTTCCTGCACTTATTTCATTTTTGCCTCATTTATTTACAAGTATTTACAAAGTTCAGGGGCCTGGATCTCCTGGACGCTGCTGCTGAGTACATAAATTTAAAGATGGCAAGACTTTGGAAAGGATGATGATGATGATGTGTAATACGTATTAATTTTACTAATTCGTCGTAACTTTTTTTTATATTCTGTAATTTCTGTTTATTTTTGGCATGAACATTTAGTGACATATAATAAATAACTTTTAAAGACGTTGAAGTAAGTTTTTTAAATAATTTTATGTGAACACCTTTTACGATTAACAAAATAAATAAGTTGTTTTTAAGAAATAAAGTAGAAAAGGGAAGAAAAGTTGAAAAGGGTGTTTTTAATCTTTATATCCTGCTTACTTATATAGTTTAATCGTATTATTCGGTTATATTGTATTTGAACTTAATGTTATGTCTTACTTGAGCTTAACACAAAATTTAACATAATATTGAAGATACGAAACAATCAGCAGGATTCTTATTTCCCAGCTGTTCTATTGGCAAACCTTATGACGGGACATAAAAAAGACCTCTTAGAATCTATAATACAAAAAGATTTTTTAAAAGTAGATGGAAAAACTGTAGGTTTAAAAGTTTATAGTTGATAATTAGATATTTCATTTAATTTCTCTTAGGATAGCTCAAATGTCAGTTAACCGTTGTAAAAACTAAATTGCAAATAATTAATTTAAAAAATGCAGTCACTATAATTTAATTCTATTTTTTATAATTATATTTCGACTAATTTTGTTTTACTTTGTTTACCATTTATATCCATAAGTGTACCTCTTGAACACACAAATTAAAACACGGTTAACTGACTATTAAGCCATTATAAAGGATTAAAGTTTTTAAAAATATTTGTGATTAATTTCTTTATTTAGTTTTTTTCTCCAAAAAAGTTAAAGTATTTTAAACATTTCCTTAACTTAATTTTTTTCAGCTACACCGAAACTATTAATAAATATATAAATACATCATTATTCATTAATTATATGAATATATATAGCCTATATTTATTTATTTATTTATTATGTAATTGAGAGCTAAAAATATTAATAAAGAACTCATTTTTTCCATATGCTCTACTTTCATACATAGGAATTTATATTTTTTAAGCATATTGTAAAAGTAGCGAAAAGTATTACAATAAGAGACACTGATACATGAAGTTTTCATTATCTTTATTTCTCAAATTTGTTTATTACATGTTATCAGGGATTTATTACATCACAAAAATAACATATTCTTGTATTAACGTCTTTCAATTAACTTCTTGTATGAATTAGATCTATACATCGTGACGAGCTTATGAATGTTCGTCATTCATTGCTTGTTCTAACTCCGAATGGAATTGATGATGAACTGTTGGGTCGATGAACCAAATCAAGATTCTTCTGAAATGCTAAGAAATGGGATTTCAGAATTTAAATTGGATTATTTAATACGTAAAACGAATAAAATCTTTTTATTACCTTATCTTTTATTCTTCTCAAATAGCGTTACGTCAAGATGAAACAAAGACACAATAATTCGTCTCATTACCATTCTAGGAAAGAAATTCAAATTTGCTCTTTTAAATCAGATTTTTTAAAAGAATATAGTATTGAATTAACGAGTGCGATTATTTATTTTATTTGAATTTAAATTTGTTTTTCATAAATTTGATCTATACACGCGATATTTCAAAAATCAGTTAATTCAATTAACTAACTTTGCTATATCTCGGTTAACTGGCTTTTGGTCATCCTATAAA